TCATAGGCTGAGTCAGCAGGTTGTTTGCTCTGCAGCACTTTCGGAAGCAGCAAGGCAGAGCTCTCTGCAACAAGGGCTTGATGGCATCAGCCATGGTTCCACATCCAGCCATGGGCCAAAAGTAGGCTCTACATCCCCCACCAAAGCAGTCACAGCAGAGGTGGGACCAGAGGTACATTCACTAGAGAGGCAGTCCTTTGTCTGCCTTTGCTTTTTCTCATGTATTGGCTACACAGCAGTAAACAGACAGCTGCAAACATATTTTTAAGTACAGTACTATATACACTCATATAGAATAGATTGTTAGCTGACAAGTTTAAGTAAATGTACAGATATGTACATAATCTAGCAAAACCAGCACCTGAAGTGAAAGAGTGCCAAGTTCAACCTTAGGAGATGAACCCCTCGCAAGGCAGGAAGCCCATGGCTCTTCAGTGGCATTCAGAGCAGCCCATCGGTGGCATCCAGCTCCACTGACATCCAGAGAGAAGGCTGCTTGTGAATGGCTGCTTTTTGAGGACAACATTTGGACAGTGCCAGCTCCTAAATTATACCTGGAGATTGCCTGGAAATGTGCTAGTTGACTCCAATGAAGCCATGCCAAGGGCAATTTTAATAATGAAACATTTTAGACACTTGGTTCATCTGTCAGGGAATGCTCCCTGGTGCTGTTTTATTTGCAAGTGTAGATGTGACTTGAGATTTCTAGCTCTTGCTTTTTACTGTTGCCAAGCATTTGCAGTTCTGTAACTTCGTCACAAGTTCTGTGTACATAAAACTGCTGAAAATAAAGCTTTTAGGTGGTGGAACCTTTTGAAAACAGAGATTTCCCTTTCAAAAAGGAGAGGGTTTTATACATGTGTGTATATATATCCAAATATACACATACACATAAAACACATAAAACAAAATACAGATTCATATACATCTATAGCTGTATTTATGTTACTGCAACATGGAATGTCAGTCAGCTAATATTCTCTAGATGCATCATAGCTGAGGGTTTCCAGCAGCACAACACAATAACTTTGCTAATTAAGGCAGTAAAATGAGACCTGTGGGACAAGGCTACAGTACAGATATCTGCAACAGAGATAGCTAGCCAAGAAGTAGGACAATATGCCATTCTTTGACTAATATAAGCATGCAGAGGCAAATACAAGCAAATTTGCACTTTAACCACAGCATCTTTTTTCACTTGCAGAAATTGTTTTCATCATGCAAAACCCATTTAGCACAGCTAGATGCATAATTTGCTGCTTTTCCACTGCTTGGTGAGGAGTCTTCCTCTAACTGTGACAATTTCTGCACTCAAAAGAACAATGACTATTTGGCAACCTTTACAACTCCTCTTCTCCTCCTGTCTTTGTTTTATTCTGAGATTTCTCTGCTGTTATTCTTGGTAATGTAAGCCAGCCCTAAAGCTTTGCAAGAATTAGTACAACTGATGCAATGTGAACCTCTGATACCTCAACATGTCCTCCTTTTCCTGTTGTTGAACCCCTTTTTCTTTATTGTTGCTGTTTCAGGATCAAGCCTGCTGTGTGGCCAAACCTTCCTGATCACAAAAAGACGCTGGAGCAACTGTGCAAGAAGCCAAAAAATGTATGTACTTCTGCTGTCATTTTTACCTGTGTATAGACTATTGAAAAGAAAACTAACTCTCACGACAGACAGTACGTGCTGCATAAAGTGGGAAATCTTTCTGAAATTAGTCTTCTTTCACTGAAGAGAGCCCACATTTGCACAGGTAGATGCTACTGAAGGGCACGGAAATAAAAGACAATCCAACTAGTGCCTGAGCTTTGACTTGTGCAAAGTAACTGCAAAGGGCTGGAGAATTTGATATATGAAGAAAGGTTGAAGGAACTGAGTTTGTTTATAGAAAAGAGGAAGCTTGAGGAGGGGAGTACTAATCACAACCCTCCAATACCTAAAGGGCAGGTAGAGGGAAGGTGGAGGTACTGTCTGCACAAGGCTGCATGATGACAGAACCAGAGGCAACCGGCATGTGCTGCTTCACAACAACCTTCATCTGGATATAAGGAAAAAGTCCTGTTCTGTGAGAACAATTAAACATTGAGAAGGTTGCCCAGAGAAGAGGCAGGTTTTCCCATGCTAGAAACATTCAAGCTTGACAGGGTCTTGGATAGTCCAGTCCAGGTCCTGTTTCTGGCAGAGGGTTGGACCAGTTGGACTCCAGAGGACCTTTCCAACCGAGATGCTCTGGTAATGATACTGTGATCATGGGGCTGGATGGGGACACTTTGCAAACATCCCTGGTGACATCCATGTCCCCTCACATGGCCAGCAGAATTGCTCACATATATATACATGAACTCATACATAAATTACTCTGCCAGATAAAAGCCAGATGGACAAATGTTAGAAACTGTAAAGTGTAGAATTAAGCCATTGCCTTAAGACTGTGTCTAGTGCATTTGTCCACTAAGAAACTCATCAGTCCTGTTCTCTCCAGTTGGTACATTATTAGCATGTTCTTAATTTAACCAGAGGTCTGAGACAACTCTCCCATTACCTGGGCTCCCCAGTGCAGGTATTCCTAATGTGTTTCAGGAAGCTGTGGCAAACTTTTACTTCCCCCACTGCTAAATTAGGAAGGTAAAACTGAAAGGAACTGCCTGGGTCACCACACTCATTCCTGTGAAACGGCAGGTGTGCAGTAGATTCGTTGCTCAGAAAAGTCTATGAAACACCAGTTCCCACCACATTGTAGAGCACAAAATACTCTCCAGTGGTGCTGCCTGCAGGAGGCCAATTGATAGATTCAGATTAATATGGAAAAGGATTTTAAGCCATGTGATAGCTTATTCTGTGTTAACCTACTGTTCAACCTGACTAGGGTTACTTTCAGAGTTATAGAAATAATATCCTTCTAAAATAAAATTTACTAGCTATGTACCTTTTCTGTTAAGCTAATACCAACCTCTAACTGACTGTATTGTACCCTTTGTCACACAGAATTTTGATATAAGCTTTAACCCAGAGAGTTTTGGTTACGTTCATATCCATAAAGTGGATGGCATTCGAGCAAAAGCTGAACTGGAACATTTCCTGCAGCAACCAACTCCTCCAGAGCCAAGCCTTCCTGAAAAATTTAGGAGTGGATCAGACATGAAGACAATGCCTGCAAAGACGGACAAAAGCGACCTAAACCCATCCGTGACTTATGGAGGAATCTGGCCAGCTGAAGCCCTGCACAGCCTCCTGGGCACCAGCCATGCTGCAGCCACCGAAGCAAACCATGGCTCCAGCACGTACGAGGTGTGCCAAAGCAACAGGGAGTCCCTGTGCAACAATGGTCCCAGCCTTTCCTCCACTCCTCCCTTGGATCCCTCTGGCCAGCCTGTATCAGAGCCCCTCAGTGGTGACACCATCTCCCAGACACCGCCCACCAGTGAAATGCAGTCACCAAATAACGAGGAAGCCTACGTCACCATGTCCAGCTTCTACAAAAACCAGTAAACCTTACAGGAATGACAGCGTGGCATTTTTTCCTCTAACACATTGATGCTTTCTGTTTTGTCTTCCCACGTCCTGTGTCAGTGGGCCCCCACCTCCACAGCAAAACCTGCTCACAGAGCAATGCCATACTGGTAAGGAAGTAGCTTCTCCCACGTTTCACTGATAAGTGGCCTACGCTCAGCTCCCAGCACACCGGCAATCTCCACTGTAGCAGAAATGAAATTTAATTCAACCTGACTTTAATCTGCAGATCTGATTAATCCAGAGCAATGACACCGCACTCCTAGCTGAGGATCACAGCATGTCTTATAAAAGTTAATGAACTCTTCTGTTAACTTCTTGGTTGCAGAGTTAAGGTCTTATTAATGCCTAAGCAAGAAATACGGCAACGAATTCAAGTTAAATAGAATCCAATATCTTTTAAACAGCAGTAGTTCAAGAGTAAATCCTCTGCAGTCAGCAGAAGTCCACGAGTTTGCAAAACAACAGTAAATGAGAGTTGCTAATCAAGCATTAGTTGCCTGGGGATTCAGGTGCTTGGTCACTGCAAAGGGAGTTTGCTGAGCCCACAGGAAAAGGGGCTCACTTTAGGAAGATGGTTTTTGTTGAGAGAGACATATTAAAACAAAGCTAAACCCTACATACTACTACTTCTTGCTGGTGGTAAAGATCTGTCCTGGAGACGATTCGGGTACTTATAGTGTATCTTTAGCATTTCATGTACTAGCAATGTTTAGCTAAGAAAAAAACAAAATCAATGAAAAGCAAAGTCTCATCTCTTTCTATAAACTGAATTGGGGCTGTAAAATGCATGATGCTGTCTTTCCCTGCAGCTCTTGTGCAAGCATTAGCACAGCATACCAGTGCTTTCCAGGACAGAAGCCCTGAGCGGACAATGTTTGTTTATTAGCATTATTCCCAATATCTGTGGCTGCATGAAAACACTTTGGATTTGGCCAGGTGATTTTCTTATGTGACATCTGACCTGGGAAGATGAATGGAGTGTTATCAAACGTACCAGTGACCAGAAGACCTATAATTTTTATAAAAGTACCCTGTAAATCACCTGGAGATACCATTTATTATTATTATTTTGCATTATGATTGAGGAAGGCACCCTGACCCTTCCCGTTCGCCTTTCCCTGGGCTCCATGCCCAGCTCCAAGGGGATCCCCATCTGCTGCTATGCAGAGGTGGCCAAGCCACGTCACCATCCCTCTGGGACGCTGCACACCACAGAACTCAAACTTGGAGACAAAGCTGCTACAGCCACGTGGCTGCATGAAACGTGCAGCGTGCCCACGGGAAGCCCAAGCCACTTCGCTGCTCTCTGAGGCTGGGGTTCACCTCACCCTGCAGTCTCAGTTCCTCCAGCTGGTTGAAATTCTCCTTTACCAAAATATATTTGAGTTCCCAGAGTCTAATGGTAAAAAGAGCCCTCAGAGCTGCTCGAATTTGTTCTGACTGGTAATAACTACTGAGATGTAGTTATATTTGACACAGTGCACTGGAGAAAAACAGCACTCCCAGGAGAGCAGTCCACCTTCTCCAGCTCCACCTGACGGCAATGGAACCTTCAAATGGGGATAACATTATGGTCCCTGCACGCAAAGGGGACAAGGATTTGGCTTAAGGCATTCCAGTGACATTTCACAGAACCGTTTTTATTGCTGTTTCTGACCAAATGAAGCACTGATTATTGCAATAGAAGAAAGATGAAAGCCCTGCATGGTCATTTGCTTTATAATGCTTGGTTGTTTTTTTTAAAGACCTGCTGGTAATGCTCATACTGTGCTGATTCGTACAGTGCAATTGTAGATGCAGACAGACTGCTGGAAAGATATCATCTCCCAGTAACACAGTGACAAGCAAAAAGGGAACTAGGGAAGAAGCAAAAGCACATGAGAAAAATCCTGTATGGTATGTGCTATCCTTGTTTCAAACTCATAAACTTATTTTTAAGGATTAAAAGGGACATCACAAATGTCTATTTGCACTATTTAAGCAGCAAGGTACCCATGTGTTTTAGTCCTTCTGATTGTCCAGAAAGATATATTACTCTTTAATATGGGAAAAGTAGTAGAAACATGATGTATATTTCCTTTAATCACTCTGAAATAGTTATATTTATCCTATGTAGTAGTCATATTTTTGCATAGCTGCTAATATCTAAACATTCATTCTATTTTCTGTGACTTATTTAATTAGGTGACATGTAACTTTAGTTTTATAATGTTTTACTATATTAAAAGGACATGACTCTTTGCATGACTTATTTACGCTGCTCTAATTCAGCCTTCTAATATACATTTATCAGGACAGGGCTTACTCTGCTCTCACTGAAATTAGGGTAACTCCAGGTGCCCTACCAAGCTGCAGGCAGCTCAAATCTCAAATAATTCCAGACAGCTTAGAGGCCCAAAAGCACTGCAGGGTAACAGCAAGCATCGTCCTGCCTCTATTGCCACCACCCTGTGAGCCACAGAAGCCTCTCTGTAGCTCCAGTTCCTGTGTTCTGGGCTGGGCACAACTTTGTTCGTCCTGGCTCCAGTTGCCAACCCAGCCCCCCTCACCCAGAAAACAGAGAGGCAGCAGCCATCCCCCTGTAGCTTTTCTTAGTGGAGGATATATGCTAACTCATGCCAGACGCAGGTTACTTCATTCCAGGTGTGCAGCTGGGTGTATGATGAAGCCTGTCCAGAAAAGCATATTTCCAGGAGAGCAGTGGCAAGCACAGCCAAATTGAGGGGGGTTAAAGGTTGGCATTAAGGTTTCTGAAGGACCCTGGATCCCAGAAACGGCCATGAAATGTTCATTGAACCACACCTAGCAACTGCCAAACCAATGCCAACAATTTGGTCTTTATGGTGGTGCTCAGTCAAGTCCTGTTAGGTTGATTTTTCACAAGTGCTAAGCTCCTCTCAGGTAACTTTCTTTGGGGATTAGGTTGCTCAGAGGCACGCAGAGGCTAACAGTCTCCTTCAGCTTTGACAACATGGCCTGAACTGTGGGAGCTACATCTTTAGGAAAAATTGGTCCCTGACTGTTTTGCACGTGCTGAGTACCAACATTTCAGTGGTCATAGTTTCAGCGTTCCTGAATACCATATGTGATTTTATAGACATAAACACGAATTTGATGGGTATATATAGATATAACAACTTTCAGCTTCCTTTTAGAAAAAAGAAATCCAAATAGGTATCAAAGCAAGAAGCATCACAAGCACTTCTGGTCCATGGCCAGCTTTTAGATGTATAGTACTTATATGAAGACACAGTCACAGCTGTAACTTGACATCACTTTGCTGGGTCAGGACAGAGTGGTTTCCTTATTTCACAATACAGTTTCCCCCACAGCTGTCAGCATATTCCTGTCTGACTCAAGATCCAGACAAGCATATAGCTTGGTGTTCACATACTCCATGCACCTTCTTTTCTTTCCTCCTCCACACTTTCTGCCTCCTGTGCTCATACTCAGCTGCGCACACAAAGAGCTTGGTGACCCTGGCTGATGTGCAGCTGCTTTAGGACACCATGGCTGGCAGCTGCTCCTCTCTCTGCACCTACCAGCCAGGCTCCTCCTGTCTCTCCAGAACTATTGGTAAAACATAGCCCATCTCCCATCTTTGTTTATCCCCTCATCTATGTGCAGCTCATCTGCACTATGCAAACATCTCCTAGCGGCACACAAACACTAATCCATGAAATAAAGTAGGTATTTTGTCAGCTATAATGCTGAGTCACAGCCTGATTTTAATGACGCAGAAAAGATTTAACTGCCTCCCAAGGTGGTACTTGTCCCTTGCTGATTTTATTAGTTTGTTTACCAAATCTCCTCCTCTTGTGCATGTTCATTAGACAGGATGATAAGACACACAGAGATGCTGTATGTGCCAGTGAAGTGGCAGAAGACCTGGCAAAACATAGAGAGGCAGAGCAACTCTGCCAGGAGTTTTTGCCAGGACGAATGGATGTTTAAATGCTTGCGATATGTAGTAAAGTCTGGGCCATGAAATAAATGGTGAAGGAGTGACCTGGCCACCGCTGCCACAGGGACACGTGGCTGAATTCAGGGCAGTTTTAGGCAGGCACAAGCTGACCATGACACCATCCCTTCTGCCAGCAAAGGACCTGTTGATGCTGGCAGAAGATTTCTGCAGGACAGCTCAGCTCCCTCTACGCTTCTCAGCAAAAGTGTTTATTGACTTGAAGGCCTATATTTATGCAGCAATATTGCTGTGCTGCAGCCCTGGGGAGAACAGCAGTAGGTCTGTAGTCACTATGCTTTTGGCTCAAGCTAGTGATCACTTTAGTTGTAGGTTTCTGAAGCTATTCTTTAAAACCAGCTAAAAATATAATGTAAAGGAGACTTGCCATCTCTCTGAAGAATTATTTCAGCATCAAAGTATTCCTTATTACTGTGGTAATGAAGCCTCCCAAACTAGTACTCCCATGTGTAACAACATTGGCAAAACAAGCCTAGTGTACAGGCACACAAGAAAGCGACTGATGATGCTAGGAAAGGCAACAGCTGATTTATACAGACTGCATTGTCCCTTTGCTCACTCGGCAGCTTTAGATTTCTGTAATTCTGGCTATTGCTTGGCTTTTAAGCGCCACCTGTTGAAGCGTGAAGCCACATGTCAGAGTCCAGCACTGGGACATGTGCTAGTGCCACCAAATCACTCAGCTCTGAAACAGCCCCCAAAGAGGAACTGGGGAAAAAATCAAACCTGCAACAAACTCAGCAGTGTTTCATTTCTTTATAGTCTCTGGTCCCAAAGAAGCTGAGGCAAATGAAAACAAAAGTCAGAGTTTCCAGGATTTCTTCATCATTAAAATGAAGTAAGCATCACTGTCCACTGAAGCACTAACTCCAGAGTAGTAGTCCAAAAATTCATCTTTTGTAACCTAAGAATGAGAAAACAGAGTTTATAATGTGAGATTACTACATACAGTGGCCCAAAGCAAGATGTTCATGCAACATATCCCCATATTTTG